CTGCATTCGAATTTGTCCGGAAAAGTATAATTCAGATATCAAACAATCCAGTTGCCAAACATTTCACTTTAATATGAGTTGTGTAAGCAAAGATCCTACTGTATATTGTCACAGAGCAAGAATGTTCAAATCACAGAGCCTGAGCTGTCTCTGAAGACAATTGAACAGCAGTTTTTCAAACATAAAATTCAAGGGAAATGGAGTCCACAGAGACGTTTTGGATATAAAAAGCCAGGTCAAGGAAAATTCTTATGATAGTCATGCCCTTCTTTCCAACACAAATCCCAACGTCATTCTTCAAGAAAGAAAAAAAAAATCCTGGCCTCGGTTTTTCAGGTTTTTTTGTTTTTTTGGCGAACCAGGTTCATTTTTTCAATGGATTCCCTCCGAACGAAATGAAGACACAAAAAAGCAGCGGCAAGGACGAAGGACACGCGATAATTTATACCAACAGTGTCGTCTTTTGCAGAGGGGGGGACGACGAATCAGTCGGTGGGGTGAAGCGTGATCCCTGTCTGACGAACATCGACATCGTCGACGTCTGTGTCGACCGCTGCAGAGCGAATTGCCATCCATGATGAGCATCGCGTTTGTTTCACTCGGCCTTGTGTGTCTCCCCGACGTTGCTTTCATTCACCCTCGAATTTCTCTTCTTTCTCCCCCTGATGGGACGAAGAAGCTTTCCTTCAAGAAGAAAGAGAAGAAAAAAAATATATCGAGGCAAAAAAATATATAGAGAGAGAGATAGATAGAAAATCGAGTCGTGATCTGGCTTTGAAATCACGGTGACTTCGCCAGTTTTCTTCCGACGCCGCGAACTTCTGTCGATGTCCGTATAGTGGGAATATAACGAATGAGGAACGGATTTTTTCGAATGTCCTCAATTCAAGCTGAATTTATGGAAGCAAAACAAAAAAATAAAAAAATAAATTTCACTGAGTCAGACAGCAGTCACATTCCATCTTGAATTTGTGATTCAGTTTTCTTCGCATTGAGGCTTCTTCGTCATATAATTGTTTTTCTTGTGTCGATTGTCGCGAAGTGAATATTGGGAAATGAGTTCAACGTTGGACATCTGTGTTTGAAATTATGGTACTTTGAGTTTCGGAAATTGTTTATGACCTAGACATTTTCAGATGAGTGTCAAAGATAACTCAAGATGGGGTCACTGAATATAAATTTTCGAGGTAAAAAACGAAGTCCGAGGGAAGATTTTAGGCAGAAGGCCAGAATTAAAACTCATTTCTGAGATATTCAGCACTAGAATATTTGAAGCCATCGAATAAAAAGCGCTCCTCTGATGTTCTTCATTTTCGAAAGAGAAAAAAGTTATTGGGCAATGATCGAAACTTTTTTTTATTACATCACACTTTCATGAACCAGGTTTTTTTGTAAGTTAGGCTTCAAAATTCAAAGCTTATAAATTTTAAAATTCTTCAATTTAACTGAATTATGATCTGTTCCAAGGAAAAGACAATTTCCAAGAACTTCAGAGCTCAGCTATAATAACGCGGAATTTGAGAATCTTCAGCTGCTGCGTATATTTAGTTCGCTGTTGACAGTGAATTTCTGCTGTCGGAAGCAACTTTGTATTCCACAGAAACAACCGATGTTTTTTTTTTTTGATTGGTTATCTCTGATTCTTTCGAAAATTCATGGAACTCTTCCCGTCAGTTTACGCTCGGAAGTGCTGCGCAAAAACATTTCCTCAATTCATGGATCGCAAAAAAATAAAACGTGGATCAGCATGAAACAGTAATCACTTCAAAAGATTACGTATATCCACCATTTATTTTTCTCTTTTTCCGTTGCGTTATCAAAATCGGTAACCCTCAAACATGTAAAATTCTTGCTGTACTTCATCATCATTCGCTGAGAATTCTACTGCGCATTTCTCTTTCGGCCCCAACGCACGTTTCATACCCGTGCGAATTGAATTTCAATTGTTCAATCTTAATGATGATTATTCAAAGAGTGAAAAAATTGATTAAAATATTAATGGAAACCAGTGATATACGTACTCTGCCGAAAATACATATCACAGTCAGGGTCAAACCTAGCTCTAACGTATCAACGAATGAGGCTTACATAAGTCTTCAATATTTCGCAAATTATTGGTTCTAATTCTCTGGACCAGAATAAGACGACGGCAGCGAGATTTCAAGAACCGACAAAAGGCAAGATTGCAGTTTGTGATGGTTTGTGTTTCTTTATTTAATTACAAACGTTCAAATTCAATGCAGGGCATTTCGACAGTTTTCAAGCGCTTTTCCGGGGTTATTTGAGGCTCACACATTACAATTACAGTAGTACCATCACTTTGACATACAGTGTACAGTACAGTATTTAGATAACGAGATTGATCATCCATCGTTTCGTAATGGTTCCCTCACTTCCGTATCGCGGTTGTCTCCAGAAATGCTGCACTTCCGCGCGACAATGCTGTCGGATACATGCTACAGTATTTGGAAAGAATCTAGAGTTTTCAGACTATTGTACTGCATTCCAAGGATGGTCATCTGTGCTGCCCACAGCGCGGCCATCTTGTAGACGCAAGGGAAGGTCCATCAGCTTTCAACGAATGGTGGGAGGGATGCCTGCAGCTGAAGCATACTCGAATGTAGCGTTTTTATGATCCACTAGAATGTTCCATGATATCCCGCCTTGAGTCATTCGATAAGTGATGGAAGGCAACCATATCCCTGTGGTACACGAACGTATGATGGAAGATATTGTGTTGTGCGGGCTGAACTTCTACTTTCGGTATCTTTTTCAAATTTCGTGGATCTGCGAATTGAATCGATGAATACGGATCAGAGACCGCGCGTTCCTCATCCTATGGTTAGGTTCATCGATCTTATGAGTGTCATCTCATCGTTCATATCAGTGATGCAGTCTGTTTGGTTTTGTTTTCTTCACGAGTGAAACGAAGGAAATTCGAATCCGTTTGTCTTGAGTATCCGCACGATTACCCGTATTCTATGGGCTTGACGAAATTACATATGGGGTGAAAATATTTGTACGATGTTGTGTTTATGCGCGCATCCGACGAACATTACTCCGGATTTCAGTGATTCCGCGGATCATTCGGTTCGGACGAGTTTCAGCTAGCTAGTACAGTACTCTACCTGTTTACAGTGTTCATGAAATTCAGTATTTGTAATTCGTTTCGAACTATACAGTCCCGTGACGTTAGATCGAATCCAATTACTGTGTCAGTGTAGTCTTGAAAACCTCTCTATGAGCAGTCCAACTATGAGGAACATTCTTTTGTTTGATTGAGCTCGATAGAGTCGTCCATAGACGTCTACGTAAACTTACAAGCTTGACATGTGATGAGCAGGAGTAATAGTGACGAACTCCGATTTTCCGTGCTACACGTAACGGGTTCCTTTGTCTACTCTAGAACTTGAAATGGTCAGAGGTGTCGCTGACAAATCGAATACAGTACTGTACTGTCATGTAGCATTTATTCAGTGGTGAAGTTAGCTGAGAAAAATTGTTCGGAATTCGTGCGATGATCCTCTACGCGCGCTCGAGCATCATTCTTCGCGATAATCCCGCCCGAATAAAATATTCGATCGCGCAGAACTGAATCTGTATAGGTAAGATCATGTAAATAATTGTCGAAAAGTATCCGGATATCTATTGAAATTCGCAAATGAACAATTGAAAATTCTTCATTGTGCTACTGTATTCGATCTCGAACTTTTCCCGATTCACGTTCCCTGCGCTACGAGAGTAAAAAATTGCTCGAACATCACCATTGCATAAAACTATGTGCGGAACGTTGATACGGAGAACTTCCCGCAATACTTGCAACTGACTTCAATGTTGCAGATTCCTAAAGCGTTCATTTTCATCATCAATCTTCAAATGAGGCAATTTTTCGTGAATTTCATCAGATCTATTCGATTGAATTTCTCCGGTCAAATCGTAAACGATTTCCGAAACTCGGGTCTAAGAAGGCAATTTTATTAGTATGAAGGTGATGTTCTACACGAGAGGCGTCCGACAGTTTTTATGCACTTACTAGCGTTTGAGTTTACTTTTTCCTCATTTTTTTCGGTTCTGAATTGACATATAGCTCTCTTTTTATGGCTTAGGTTATTGGAAAACTGAAATTTAAAGCTAGCTCTTTTGCCTATGGTCGATAACACTTTCGCTGGAAGAAATGTTAATCTCGATTATTACTACCACACGAAGTAAAAAATGGCATCTTATGAAACACGTAAGACAAATTTGTTCAGAACATGAAATTGAGAACAGAACCCGCTCTCGATTTTTTTTTCGTGGAGTACAGAAGTAAAATTTGCATAGATCATTCTTTGGAGTGTGGGACTGAGGCGGTTTTGAGAAATCGAGATGGCCAGTGCAGTATTTGTTGTACTGTATGCGGTTTTATACGATACCTCGTAACAATGAAAGGCAGTGATGGTACGCACAAAACCGTGTTCAAGCCTTTCATGATCTCCCAAGAGGAAGAACCTCTGTTTCAATGAAGGGTTCATGCATTCCTCCGAATGAGATGTACCTGCGTGTATATACAGTACTGCACGTACTGCATGCAGGGAAAAAAAGACGAGATTCGTCGCCGTATGTCGCGGAACACAACCGGGTTCCTGCGCGGCAAAAACGTGTTTATTATGGCCAAGGAGGCCGAAATATTTGCCATCTCGTCGATTTCGCGCGAGAAACAAGGCCTTCCTGTCCCACGGGTGCTTCTTTTTTCTTTTCCATTTCGTCTTGTGTTTCTTCACGCTTCTCCTTCACTTCATCATCGTCTTTGTTCTCGTTCTTCACTGCCGTTTTCCTCAATTTCGCGCATCAGTCTTCTTTCCGCCGTCCAGTCCGCAGATTTATTCGCTTCAACAATCCCGCGCGTCGGCGCGGATTTTCGACGATTTGATCCGGTTTGTTGGTGTTGATCAGCGAACGTCGGTTTTTCGTCCATTTTGCAGGGTGGAAAAGAAACGAAAAAGAAGAAACAAGTGTGAGTGATGAAGCCTCGCGACGATTTCTCTCGGATGATCTTCATCTCAGCCGTTCTGTGTAAGCTCTTTTGTTGCTTATCTTGCATTTAAGCATAAATTACAAGTTGAGGTGCCGGGATTTCCCTTTTATTTTGCTTTTCAAAAATCGAATTAAAATATGTAAAAATCAGAATCCCTCGATATTTTTGGGTCAAAAACTAAAATTCAATGCCGGATGACTCGACGTAGGCTCAGTATTGTGACTGCTGTCAGTTTGAGGTATAGGGTGACTGGTTATTTATTCATGCGAATAAATTTTTGCAATTATTTTTCGGGATCACTTGATCATTAGGAATTGTACGAACATAAACCAGTTGGTTCCCAGAATCCTTCCCGATAAATTACGAAGCATTCTGGCGATCTTCTGATGCCCCTCTTGAAAATATATTATGATCGATTTCGTCGACCGCGTGTGAGAAAAGAATGTGAGAAGCTGAAGATTTTCTTCATTTAAAAGGAATCTTATGAAGCAGTTCACTTGATAATTTCCACGAATGCCAATTGCGTCATTGGAGGTGTCACGACCGGAGACATTTGTAAAGATTTCGACTGAACAATTTAATTGGGCGCATATCCTCGTGGGATTCAGACGATTTAAAATTTTAAAGCATTGTTTACATAAACTGTAGTAAGGATATACCGAGTATATTGCGTCAGGTTATTACGCATATAATTTTTCATGCAATGAAGAAGTGGGTGAAAGAGGAGATATACTTTGTTCGTAGAGTACTGTATCTGCTATTTCACCAACTTCTTCATGCAATAATGTGCTTGCGCTGTTTTCATATCCCCTTGGTGGTCTCATGTACGCTTGTCTTTCTTTTTTCGATGCCTATATTGATTTCTTTGTGGTACAACTTGAAATACACTCTAACCATGCCAAGTCCATCAAATGGAAAAAACCACATATCCTTTCTATTTTTCTAGTCGAACAGTAAATGATTTATATTCGCTTATTTATGGTAATTATTCATCAAGATAAGGCAGTACATTACCGTGAATCGATTATAAGGAGCGCCCTATTTTACTTTTTTTCACCTGGAATTTTAGAAATTCTTCATGCGAATGTTATATGGCTTTTCATAGCCTTTCTTTTCTTCAGAATTGGAGGAGCTTGTTCAATTTATGTTTCTTGTTTTGAATTCCAGGTGCAGTATATACAAAGTCCACTCTCACACTTCCATTGAATCTTATGATGAAAAAGGAAGAAACAAAGTTGAGAACATATTGCCTTCCGGATTTATTCTAATTTCTAAGAATCATGCGGTGCAGAAGCAGTCATGCTTTTTTACAGATGAATCTTTTCAAATTGAACTTCAAGAGACCAGCAACAAAAAAAGATACATAAACATTAGAGGTTGGGAGGGAGAAACAAGATTCGAAAAATTGTAATTTGAGATTTTCTAGGTCTTGAATTGCTGCTGGAATGAGTCGATAGGATGCTGAACTTGGAGGCAAGGGTTTATTTTTTTTGATTTTCTCTCTCCTTTGTAAGTAAAACTAAAATACTGTAATAGTCAAAGGGGCTCCAGAAAATCTGAGTTATGTAAGCTTTCAGGAGCTTTCCTTGCAGTTGGGAGAAGTTAATGCATTTTTCTATGGAAATATAAACCGGGACTCGAAAAAAAAATTCAACAGGAGGTGTATTCGACTTTGAATGGTTTGAGTTATCCAGGTTCAATTGGTTTTTTTCACCATAAAATGACATGCCATCGAGAATTTAGGAATGAGCCATGAAATGTAAGACACGCTTATACAGATTCCTAGAACGCATTCGGATTTTTTAAAGAAGTATCCTGGCGATAAATGAGTGGTGAAGTGTATCTGATATTCGAGTAAACATTTCAATTGATTCGTTGTGTTGCTTCAGCCCTTGGGATCGTCGTTCAAGTCGCCGTGGGATATCCTGTGTCGGTGATGGAACCATCTGACTCGGGAATACGGAACTGCGCAAATCTCTGGACCAGTCTTTTGGCGACCGAAGATGATACCATTGTCGAACGTCAACTGAAGTTCGAGTTCCCAGTAGACGCTGACGATTGGTTCGTCCAACTGACCTTCGATTCTCCGATTTTGGAAGTTGAATTGGTGCGTATGCAGTGTGTCCTATCGAATAATTTCATGCGTGGAGCAAACGAAGATCTTTCTAGCTCTGGTACATTTATTGCAAATTGTAGAAAAAAAAACATTATAATTTTAGCTTACGATTGAAGTTCCATTTTTGAAATGGTCCACTGACTATTGTGGTACTGTATAAATTGGCCTTATTTATTCTGTTGAAGAAATGCATGTTACCTGATCTGAATTTCAGGCCATATCGTCTTCGAATTCTGATTGACATGGTGCGAGTTCTGTCCGCAGATTGAGAGCATTTCTGGTGTGAAAAAGATGGGCTAGAATCCGTCTTGAAAATGATAAATGTAATAAGGAAACTAAAAGTTCATCGAAGACGAATTCTGTACTGTGCTGTACGTGAACACAGGGAGTCAAAGTGTATGTCAAACAGTACTTGACGTAGAAAATTAGCGGATTTTTATAATCAAGCCGGGTGAAGTTCCCTTTATCAATTAATCCAATTTTTCATAGCTTTTTCCGCGGATCTGGAAATTTTTGTGCAGCGGGAACAGTTTTTAGCATGATTTATCTATCGCATTATTTTCTCTTGGCATGGATTTAGAATTGTTCCATCTGTGCATAATTATGAACGATATGGTTCGACGGAAAATCTATTGCTGTAATGGTCTTGAAATTCGGCTCACATTAATTACCGCAAGGTTTTTTTTTTTTTCGTCCTGGCGAATTTATGGTTCGTGAAATTGACTTTCCCTGCTGTATTTTTCTGATTTTTCTCTGCATCCAATCGCAGTTGAGAAAATATCCGGGATACTCTAGTTTACAATCGCTGATTCTTGGAAAGGTTGCATTTTCAGAGGGAATGTTTTTCGTGTACTGTACCGGAATATACCGGATCCACTGGAGTACTACGCCCCCTCGAGTAAAACGAAAAGTTTTTCATGGAAAACTCGTCGAAAAACCTCTCCTGGTGTAAGACGAGCACCCCAGTTTTTGTTCGCTAAAATTTTTAATCAACAGTAATATTTTGTCTTTCCTGCATTTTATCGTCGACTGGAGCAGTAAAAATGTGCTTGCTTTTGAGGGCAGCTTCCTCTTTCAAGTGAATATTTTCCCAATCCTTCACATTCTGTTGAATCTCTAACCTATGTGGGTCATTGAAGAAGCAATTTATTTTTGTAATCTTCCTAAAATTGTGATGGCTTCAATCACTGTATTATTTCCTGTAAACAAGAAGACTTGGCGCCACACATTTCCGCTTCATTATTTTCTCAAAATTACCGTATGTGACACTTACTGTTTTTGGATTTAATGTTTTCATTAAAAAATGTATTCTAGTACAGTACCTGGTGCGCCCTATTTTTGCACCTTAATTTCTGAAAGAAAACGCCTGCGTAGTATTCAAGTAAATACTTCAACCAGTGTTTACGCCCAAATTTGCTCAGCACTTGCTCACCCTTGCTCAGCAGGGCTGCTTGCCCACCCTTGCTCAGCAGGGCTGTTCATCGCAACTTTTTTCTTTTTTACACCCACAACAAGAACTCAGAGGCAAATTAATTTTTATAAGAACTCACGACTCGATTTTTTTTTCTACGAACATACCTTCCATCACAACCACAACATATTTCAATTTTAATCCCGCAAAATGCGTCAGGAAAAATCATGTATCTAAATCGTGGGGGTTCGACCGTTCTGACTTGTGTGCACTTATTGTATTTTCTTGTCATTTCTATTTTTATGTTTCCAAGGACAAGGATGACGGTTCGGGTCTGGCTTATCGTTACAACTACAATCCCGACAAGAGGAGCGTTTTCGTCAGCCCCGACAGATGTTGCAACACCGTGGCTCGCGGAGAACGATTCCACGCCGTCATTCGCTGGCCCGGGACAGGAAACACGGGTCCAACTGAGCAATCCATCGTCATTGTCGAAGCGTCGCTCAACATCGCCGCAGGGGCAAAGTTCCTCAAGTACGACTTGTGTCAGTCCGAGCGTAAGTATATTACTAGCTTTACGTCACTTTTGCACTGTTTTCAATTGCAAATCCCATTTCAACGCGTACATCGACAATAGTATATACCCCTACTCCATTTTCTGCACGAATTGTTTGCAGAAAATCCGAGCGATTTCCGGTATTGATGTATATACGAGGTAATAATGGAGCTTTAGTAGTCTAGTCTACTGTTCCCAGAACATTTTTGGGCCGGTGGACCATCAAATTTCCCAAAACTTTTTGAGGACCAGCAAAGTTTTATAAATTTTTTGCAGACTCAAAAAACGTTTTGATTTTAGCACTTTATGGAATGTATTTGAAAAGTTTTTGCTTTTTTGCAAAAAATAAGTTGAGAAACAATGAAGCAGCTACAGTAGAATATATTTAAAAAATTGTAAAAAGATGGGCTTGAAGAAAGGTTTTTTCAGTACAATTTAGTAATTTATTTCAGCAGGTGAATATTTGTCTGAAGTGTTATAGGAGAAAAGCTAACTTTTATTTTTCATTAGATAATTTCAACTACCATTATCTTTCTGAAATTTTAAATAACAATAACAGACTCCATGGCTTTTTTGATAAATTTATTATGCAGAGGAAAATGGCCTCCAGACCAGCAAAAAACTTCTGCGGACCTGTCCTCGTCTGTTGACCACGGGTTGGGGAATACTGCTCTAGTCTAGACCCGTGTTCCCTAACCTTGTTGGGCCTGTGGACGGTCAAAAGTCCATACATTTTTTTGTGGATGAGCAAACATTTTCAAAATTCCTGCCATAAAGTCCTCCAAACCAAAACTTTTTGCTATAAATTAAGTTAAGAACTAATGAAGCAGCTTTAGTGGAATTTTTTTTATTCAAAAATGTAGAAAGCTAAGCTTCAAGAAAGATTCTTTTGAATGAATACTTGAAATAATCTGTTTCAGCTGGAGAACATTTTTCTGAAGTGATATCAGAAGAAAAGCAAACTTTTTCTCCATCAGATAATTTCAGCTGTCATTGTCTTCATCAAAGTCAACTGCTTCCCCGTTGATCTTAATTTCTTTTTCGTTTTTGAACATGAATATTCGCTTTACAAGTAGGCTGAGAAAGATAGCTTTAAAATTTGTACTGTAAGATTTCCTAAATATTGGGACAAATGAGCACTTTAGACTATAGTGACTAAAAAAAAACAGAAGCATGGAAAGCGCACGCAGCAGAAGGAAGAAAAACATGCGCAAAAGAATTGATAGAAAGAAAATATCAGAAGAGAAGATACTGTGTATTGATATGAAAGCAACGGGAAGGGGGGGGGGGGAATAGTCGGTGGAAGCAAACTTAACGTTATAATAATTAGTTTATTCATCGGTTTTGGTTTGGAGTTGAAAGTTCGTTCATACTGTATTTGCTTCTGTATATACCCTCATCATGGAATGTAGTGGAGACTGTCAATAGTGTGCACGCAGATGAAGCACCAGCCAATTTTTTTTTTAATTTGAACCTTTCGTATAGGTATCTTCTGAATTTTAAAATCGTTGTAAATTTCATGCTGAAAGATTGATTACAGTACAAAATTCTGATGGTATCCTCCTAGACATATAGCTGAATATTCATAACCGTGTCATTTTATTGACGAATACTCCTTCGAGCAAGTATTGGTAACGTACAGTATTTAAAGTCTCGAAGTTTAGCTGATTTTTCGTACTTCTGTAATATGAACCATATTAATACGCAATTTAGAAAAGCATTTCATTAATTGCTTTTAGCAATCTCGAACAAACGTGGCAGCAAAGAAATAGAAGACTGCAGTAATGCATGATAGGAAATAATGCTGATGTGTGTATAAAAAAAAAGGCTATTCCCAAAAACTCTGGATGCTACTCCAAAGTCTAGACATCTTGCTTAATGTTAAAAGTAGAAAACTATATACTGTACTGTTCAAACTTTTTGGTTCTCAAATGACAGACAAGACCGTGAACCAGTGCTGCTGGTGAGACTGCCTTTCTTTTATCCGGGAACCGGAATGTCACTCTTTTAGGATAATTCAAAAAATTCCAGATAGGGTTTAGATTCTTTAAAAATTATTTTACATCTTTTCCAGTCATCCCGGAAGCAAGCAACGATGGTTTTGCTGCTATCGCCGACGAAATTGTTGCTGCAAATGACGAGAAAATTCATCAAATTGGAGACGAAATCGAAATGTCCCCATCAGCAATTACCACGGGCCAACTTGGCACAATTCGGAATGAAGCCAGCAAACTAAACCTGTATCCACCAGAAGTGCACCAAGACGAGCTTCCGTTGAACGAAGGCGAGCTTTCCGTTGCCCAGTCTGGAAGAAGCAGTAATTCTGGAGCTTCAGGAAACGTCGAACCGTCTTGTAAGTAGTTTTTCGAACGTTTAAAAAATGAAGAAGAAAATTTTTTGATAATTTCGAGAATTTCCAAATTTTTTTTAGTCATCGCGAACCACGAACATGATCAAGTTGACACAAACAAGAATGGATCGACAGCGGAGGAAGCTGTGAGTATATCAAAAAGATTTTAATAAAAAAATCGAACATTATGTGAGTCGCATAGAAGAGTCTTATTATTGAGACCTTCTTATATGCAAGAGGACTCCCTCTACAACGAAATTCAGGGGACTAGGGGAAACATTTGTTGTAGACAACCCCTATAATATAGGAAGAAACCCCTTGAGTACAAAAAATCTTGACGCAGAGAAAATCGTTCTAGAGCGAGTTTACCTGTGTGTACTGTATATAGAATGTTGAACAGACTTATTACATGAAACATATAGGGTATGAAGCAAGAAGAAATATCCGAGGAAATGGTCAGCGACGCTGGGAAACTGGAAACGGATGCTTTCAAGCCTAAGCCTCCATCTCGTACTGTTGGCAAGAACACAGAGTCGTCATCGATCGTCGAAAATGAGGTATAAACCGGACATATATGTTTCAAACTACTGTATGTGGAAAAAATAATAGTTGCGAGGAAAATGTTTATTACAAACTTGCTCATTACATTTTCCCTTAGGTTAACTTAGACGACTTAGAAAAATAAGTACCTGCAATAGAAGCGACCCCATCAGGTAAATGTCAAGACGTATAGCATTAATATCCGTTCTTTTTTTTGCACAGTATAAAGGTCGAACTTCAAGAGACGACAAGAAAAAAAAAACGATTCGGGGAGGTTTAGAGTTGGGGCAACAAGCGTTGAGTTGAGAAAAAGAAAGAAGGATTGCAAAAATTGTAATCGGTGATATTCTAGGCCTTAAATTGCTTCTTGAATGAGTTTCCAGGATACTGAGCTTAAAGGCAAGGATTTATTTGCCCAATTAGCCTTTTACTTCATTTCAAAATACCTCAAGTTGCATTTTTATTGCTTTTCTCTTTCCTGGATCAATAAAACTAACCAAAAGGCCTCCAGAAAATGCGAGTTCTGGAGGTTTGAGAGGGATAGCCGTTGAGTTTGGGAGGATTTTAATGCATGGTTTCCAAGGAAATTCAGACAGGGACTAGAAAAAAATCGACATAGGTCGATATTTCTACTCAATTGTATGGGTTCGAGCGAGTTCAATCATCGAGGTTCGACTGTATTCCAGCTAATCTGCTCCATCTAAAAGTCTCAATTCAAATCACTGACGGTGTGAACATTGAAAGCATTTTCATTTCTGCATATTAAATATTGTGGCATTTTCTTCGCTTTCATATGAATACGAATATACCGTATTTTAAAAATTGATTTCTATATCCTCGATGATAATCCAGCCTTGGCGAAGAGTGAAGTGTCGAGATATTTCATCGCACATGCTTCCATTATAGACTATTAATCGATTATATACTGTCTTGAAACTAGTATGAAACTTCCATGCCTCCTTTCTTGTGTGCAGCAACCAATCGACCATGGTTTCGAACACCCAGAATCCTTTCAAGAGGGAGGCTATGATGGAAGCCATCAAGTACACGATCAGCAACAACGTGAATCGGAAGACCAAAAATCTCACGACGGAGTGAGAAACACTTTTTTCTTCCGCGAAAAACAAGTGGATAAATTAGCAGGATGAACATGTTTCCTTGTTTCAGGAAAAAAGCGAAACGTTATCCCAAGAAGAAAATTCGAAACAACAGCAGCCTCTTATGCATCTTATGCATCTGCCTCACGATTCGTCTCAAATGTCGCCGGATTTGAAAGACCACCTCGCAAGCATCGATACCGAAGTCAAACCCTCAGCAATCCCGTCATCGAAAAACCCGTTGATCCCTCGTCAGACTTCGGGACAGACCAGGCCATTTTTCGACGACAGTGACGTTGCAGTCAATGACGAACCCCCGCGTACATTTTCTGACGACATCCCGGGGGTATCGGTGGATCGTGAACACGGCTCGGGCTTGATTGATGTTCGGGACAGACCAGGCCATTTTTCGACGACAGTGACGTTGCAGTCAATGACGAACCCCCGCGTACATTTTCTGACGACATCCCGGGGGTATCGGTGGATCGTGAACACGGCTCGGGCTTGATTGATGGTCAGTTCCCCCCTTCCCATCAGAAAACATTCAATTCTCAAGGCTTGAATAGCATCGAAAATTGTTCGCGTCGAATCTTTTTTTATTTATATTTTTAACGAAAAATTAAATTTCGGAAAAATTAAGTGCTTTTGATAGCAAATCGAAATCTCATTTCACCATCAAGAGTGCATTTATCAACAGTCGCAATAAGTCTTTAACACAGGAAACTCCGCATTATTGCGACCTATTCATAACAGGTTGTTGAGCGAAAACTTTCCTTTATTGTTGTTCGTCCAGCAAAGGCGTTGATCGTGTCGTAAACATGATAAAAATAAATTAGATCAAATATATTTGCGGCGAGAAAAAACTATAACATCTGCAACTTGCGGTGGTTGTGGACAAAAAAAATTTCACGTAATTCTGGTTTCAATAAAAAAAATAAAATAAAAAACAAGGAACAAGTTGTAGCTTGACAATAACCTGTGTTTTCGAATAGGTCGCAATAATTGCGAGGTTTTCTGTGGTGAAGACTTATTGCGACTGCTGATGAATACACTCTTGATGGTGAATTGAGATTTCAATTTGCAATCAATAGCACCTAATTTTTCCAGAACTTTTCTTTTGCAAACCATTTTACGCGAAAAATGTTTGATGCTATTCACATTGAGGAATTTAAGAATTTTTGACACGACGCAAAAAGAAAAAATACAAGATACGTTTTCCAATCCAAGCCACGAATTTTTCCTCTTTCGTACGTATTTGCAATCTGAACAGTTTGCACGATCTTGAACAAAATAAAAGGTAACCTTTGGTTCGCAGAAAACGGAACATATGACAAGTACTTGTGTTCTCGATAACATTTTAATCGAGCACAAATACTATTGACGAATTTTAATCATCTTCTCGTGGCATGCGTTTTTAAATCACTTAAGGAAATCACGAGGAGTGATTGATCTGCTTCCAGAAATCCCGTGAATCGCGAAGTTTATGTTCACAGGTGACCAAGAGCCTTTCGTCGTTTACGGAGAACAAGACCGAAACCCCGAAGATGTCGTTTACGGAGAACAAGACCGAAACCCCGAAGATGATGATCAAATTAAAAACGTGTCATCATCTCTGACCAGCAATCAACGTGAACCAAGCAGCAGCAGCATCAGCAGTAAAGCAAATTCGGCGAACAAGAAACCGGGATCCTCACCTCCTCCTTTTGCAGTCGACGAATCCGGAGACACCATCCCTAGCACAGTCGACGAAGAAAAACAAATGATACAAGCTTCAAACGTGAAAAGTAAACCCGAGAATCCCGGTGGGAAAAACCAAAATACCGATGCATCGACGTCGACGCATTTCCACGATTTTGAAAACGGCGGTCAAATTCATGTCGCTGGAGTCCAGCCAAAGCCCGGGAACCATTTCAACGCTAAAGGCGACAAAATCAAACCTGGATCGAATGCTTCAAAGCCTTCTTCGTCGAACGTCGGGCAGGATTCGCAGAAAGTACAAAAAGAACCCGCCGAGACGTTGAAGAATTCATCGTCGTTCCCAGCAGAGGAAGAAGAAGACGGAACACATGCTTTAGAGCCGACGGGAATGAAAACAGACGATTTCAAAGGATCCTCTTCTCAAACGGAATCCGGGTTCAAACCCATGAAAGTGAACAACGGGGAACGACCCAGCGGTGATTTCAAACAAACCCACGTGAATCAAAGACCNAAAACTTTCCTTTATTGTTGTTCGTCCAGCAAAGGCGTTGATCGTGTCGTAAACATGATAAAAATAAATTAGATCAAATATATTTGCGGCGAGAAAAAACTATAACATCTGCAACTTGCGGTGGTTGTGGACAAAAAAAATTTCACGTAATTCTGGTTTCAATAAAAAAAATAAAATAAAAAACAAGGAACAAGTTGTAGCTTGACAGTAACCTGTGTTTTCGAATAGGTCGCAATAATTGCGAGGTTTTCTGTGGTGAAGACTTATTGCGACTGCTGATGAATGCACTCTTGATGGTGAATTGAGATTTCAATTTGCAATCAATAGCACCTAATTTTTCCAGAACTTTTCTTTTGCAAACCATTTTACGCGAAAAATGTTTGATGCTATTCACATTGAGGAATTTAAGAATTTTTGACACGACGCAAAAAGAAAAAATACAAGGTACGTTTTCCAATCCAAGCCACGAATTTTTCCTCTTTCGTACGTATTTGCAATCTGAACAGTTTTCACGATCTTGAACAAAATAAAAGGTATCCTTTGGTTCGCAGAAAACGGAACATATGACAAGTACTTGTGTTCTCGATAACATTTTAATCGAGCACAAATACTATTGACGAATTTTAATCATCTTCTCGTGGCATGCGTTTTTGAATCACTTAGGGAAATCACGAGGAGTGATTGATCTGCTTCCAGAAATCCCGTGAATCGCGAAGTTTATGTTCACAGGTGACCAGGAGCCTTTCGTCGTTTACGGAGAACAAGACCGAAACCCAGAAGATGATGACCAAATTAAAAACGTGTCATCGTCTCTGACCAGCAATCAACGTGAACCAAGCAGCAGCAGCATCAGCAGTAAAGCAAATTCGGCGAACAAGAAACCGGGATCCTCACCTCGTCCTTTTGCAGTCGACGAATCCGGAGACACCATCCCTAGCACAGTCGACGAAGAAAAACAAATGATACAAGCTTCAAACGTGAAAAGTAAACCACTCTTAGGGCCACCCTTTTTGGTTTTATGGCTACGTAGCTGCAGCTGCGTAAAGGTGCTAAAACTTTTGCCGCCAGTTTAAGTACAGCGACCTCAGGTCGGTTTCGGGCCCTTGGTAAAGTTGCGATAAGGCGACAAAATCAAACCTGGATCGAATGCTTCAAAGCCTTCTTCGTCGAACGTCGGGCAGGATTCGCAGAAAGTACAAAAAGAACCCGCCGAGACGTTGAAGAATTCATCGTCGTTCCCAGCAGAGGAAGAAGAAGACGGAACACATGCTTTAGAGCCGACGGGAATGAAAACAGACGATTTCAAAGGATCCCCTTCTCAAACGGAATCCGGGTTCAAACCCATGAAAGTGAACAGCGGGGAACGACCCAGCGGTGATTTCAAACAAACCCACGTGAATCAAAGACCTAATGCCTCGTCGAATATTCATCATCATCATGACGCTGAACTCGATCCTGTTATTGCGAAGAAACCAACGATCAATGTGTCCTTGAACGATGCGAGCGAAAATTCGGGGCAATTTCAGGAAAATCCTGAAAGAAATCCGTCTCAGGCATCCGTTGATGTGAGCACCGCGTTTCGCCCTTCGCGTCCGCCTGTTGTTCCATCAAGACCTGATGCAATTGACACAATGGTAAGTAAAAAGAATGCTTCAAAGGTGTCACAAATGAGCCAAGAAACTGAGACTGGATTCAGCGCTGAGAATCCCTTTGGACATCTGTGCTACGAGTTGCGACGACTAGACTTGCAGGGCCTGCTGCTTAGAAGCTTTCTGCTGCTTAGCCATGTAGTAAGCCACCTAAACAGAAGTGAGCTGCTGAGCGCTCTTTTAGTCCATATTAAACCCCATCATCATCAAGATGAAGAAGTAGCTTCTGCTGCTGGTGTAGAGGGATTCCTGGAGGAAGATACCAAGATGATCAAGGGAAGCAAGAATGGTTCTGGGCCTCATCAGGAGACAACGACAGCAGTGGTTGAAGACATGCTGTTGGAAGAAGCGGAAGTCCTGAATGAAAAGAACGAATCAAAGCCGAATGGATCCAAGCCTCGACCGATAGGTGACGCTCCATTGAAGCCGCATTTTGAAGGAATGAGTAATCAAACTGTCAATACCGCGCATCCGCCGCTAGGTGGCAGTCATCAAACACATCAGCAAGCTCACGGGCATCCGGATGACTATCGGGACGACGTCTATGGTGAATTGATTTTCCGAAATCCGAACCTCATTGCGAAGACCAAGCAACTTTTCAACTCTTACGCATATGACTCGAACCTCCCCAAGTCGATTACCTCCCTATTTCGTACTTTTTCGACTCCCTTTCGGAATGTCCTCAGAAATAATTTGCTATACAAACCTCTGTAGCTCCTAGACTTCTCCTCTCAAACCTCCATAACTCGAGTTTTCGGGAGGCCATTTGTCTATTATTTTATTGACACAGGAAAAAAACTATAAATATATAACTGGATATGTTTTGAAAGGAATTGAAGGGCTAATCGGGAAAACGAACCCTTGCCTCCAAGTTCAGCATCCTGTCAACTCATTTAAGAAGCAATTTAAGGCTCAGAATATCAGCAGTTATAATTTCCTGTAATTTTTCTTTCATTCTTCCAACAAAAATGATTTTTTCTCGAACTGCTGGAAACCTCCCTAAATCGAAATGTTTTGCTGGTCCCTTGAAGTTCGACTTGAAGTGGTTAATTTGGTCGAATGAGAGCTTTACTTTTGTTCTTACCTATTTTTTTGTGTGTAATCCTTCAAGATCATAGAGATGATCCTCAACAACCGCACGAGTATCCAGATACGGACAACACGCATCTTGAAGCCATACCAAGTCCCATCCTACTGCCAGGATCTTCAGAGGACGAAACCC